TCCTTATGTCCCCAACACTTCAGTTCCTAAAACATGATTTTATTTGACTGTCATAACTATTCTGTGAAGTAGAAAAGATTATTAATCTCATTTTATAAATGAAAATATGTTTGTCCAAGATTAACACAGTATGCTGCAGAGTTGGAACTCAACCACAGGTCTCTAGAATCATGGTTTTCTGTGCATTGGAGGACACCACTAATAAAGGCTCCAGAACACTCTACACCCTCATTTTGGGCTGATTCCTCTCTCCTGGAGGCTGGTTTCTGGGGAAGAAGGAAGTGCATGAGGTACCATTCGGTCAGGTGTCTGGTGGTTGCCCCCACTTTAAGCCCAACAAGGTCATACAATAGAGCTGTTCAAGTCCATTTTCCTGAACTCTCTTCCCTTGTTCCTGACTGGTTCTTCTACCCTGATACACTTTCTAAGTCCGGGCTCCATCTCCTACTTACAACCCCCATTCTATTGCTCCTTTGCTCATGGTGTTTACATGGGTTCTCTCTAGTCTCTGGTTCTCAGTGCCCTTACAAAGATCCTGGATTAGATTTGCCTCCCTAGCTCTGCCCGAGTGGGATGACTTAGTACAATAGTGTAGTACAATAGTCAGCACCACACATTTGGCACTTACTGTGTGTGTCAGGCACTGCGCTAAGAGCTTTATGCCCATTCTTCCATTTAATCCTGTCAACAGCCTCGTGAGATATATTACTTTTCCATTTACATATGAAGTAACTGAGGCTCTGAGAGTAATCTCCCCAAAGTCATGAAACTAGTTAGTGACGAAGACCCAAGAATGCAACCCAGATCTGTAAGACTGTAAGCCCTATGAGCTTAACCACTTTGCTGTACTACCTTCTTAGAACTCATCTGGTGGTCCGATGTTTAGAGAAATTTGAAGATAGCTTACCACAAGCAAATCTCTCAGCCCTTTAGTTTCTAGGCTTCCAGCTGCGTGGCAGAATTTGTCCTCAGAAAGATCTTCCCAGCTCAGCCTGGCACATGCTTAGTGTTGGTAAATTAAGTCCTCCTTGGGTTGGAATGCATTCTGGCTCTTAAACACAGATGCCTGGTGTCTCTTCTCAAACACATGGGTCTGTGCTCTGTTCTTAACAAGTCTCCTGAGAGACTCTCATTTCTCCTCTCCCTCTTGTTACCCTGTAGGAACCTCCAGCCAAGACAATCAGGCATGGACCATCCAGATACACTTAATTGCTAACGTGCTTTCTGGCAGCCTCAGAAACCAAGGCCATAAGCCTGGCTGAATGATGAGGGGGTCACACAGCCTTGGCTGTTTTCACCCAAAAAGGAGGCTTTCATAATGAAAGGATTCCTGACAAAATTCTGTTTTCCACTTGCAGCTCTTACAAAAAATGAGCATAGAATCACAAAGCATTAGTACCAAGAGGGCCTACAGAAACCACCTGTTCTAAGCTCCTGAAGCCCAGAGATAGGGAGCGACTTAACCAAGGTTGTGCAGTGTATATTAGTTTCCCAGGAATAGATGCATTAGAATCTGAAGGGAGACAGAAATCCTAATGATAGTCCTCAGGGACTTGCTGATTTATTTTGCTCTCCATTAGCATTTCTGTGACATGATTTTGTGCCAAGCAAGGGGAAGTCTTTTATTCAAGTCTCCCAGAGATTTCCTATTTGGCTATTTGCTGTTTGGCTACTTTAAAATGATAAGAAAGAGATCAGTTTTTTGATAAAGCTCCAGTTTTGATCAGCTCCAGTTTTTTGATAAAAATCTTAGGGAAGTATTCTGATTGGTCCTGCTTGATTACATGTTCCCATTACTGACAGTGTTCACTTGAATCACCTGGTTTGGGTGAGGGAGTAGTAGTACTACAAAACAAGAGATTGCTATTTCCAGAAAGAATGGGAAGAAGTGATAGCTGACTATTATAGAAAATTATTTACCAGAGGACCTATATCAGGTTAGGGACAGATTCAGGGCTAGGAGCAGAATCAATAAAATAATTACTATTAATAATGATGGAAGTCTCTGGATTATTTTCATTTCTGGTATTGAAGTAAGTATCAGTGTTACTGCACTGTTCATTTATATTTTTAAAAGATTGTTATTGTGCAGAATATAGAATGTAGGAGAACAAGAGTGTGAGTAAGGAAACTGGTTAGGAACTCTGTGGTAACTCTTTAGGGGAGAAACAATGATGGCTTGGACCAAGGTCATGGCAATGGAAATGAAGAAAAGTGGGCAGATTTGAGATATAGTTAGAAGTAGAACCACAGGACTTGCTGCTAGATTAGAAAAACCAAGGAATTAAAATGACACCTAAGTTTCTGTGAAGACTGGGGTGAAAAGCTTTTGAGACAGAATCAAGAGTTCCAATCTAGACAATGTTAACTTTGAGACATGGAAATATCTAGTAGGCACTTGGGTATATATGTTATTACCAAAGTCTTGGCATCTAATGCCTTGGGATTAGACGAGTACTCCAAAGGAGAGAGTATAGCTAGAGCAGAGAGCCCAACTGGTCTTCGAGCCATCTTTTCTGCATATACTGAATCTTTCTGTTGAGCTTCTGGCCAGGAACTTCAGGTAGGAATCACAACCATTACCTACAGTGAATCCCACGGAATGAGAAGCCAGATTCGTTCTTCAGGGATGGCTAAGAAGCAACCAGTTGGACTGTTTTACAAGCTTCAAAACTTCTCCATCTAGATGTGTCTTGATTCCCCCCAAATAGACTCTTTGGACAACTAAGCAAATGATGAGACTGCCCTGCTCTAACCATTTTTTTTTTTTTGTCTTTTTCGTGACTGGTAAGGGGATCGCAACCCTTGGTGTGGTGTCGCCCACACTGCGCTCAGCCAGTGACCGCACCGGCCATTCCTATATAGGATCCGAACCCACGGCGGGAGCGTCGCTGCGCTCCCAGCGCCGCACTCTCCCAAGTGCGCCATGGGCTCGGCCCGCTCTAACCATTTTGATACTTCTCTTCGGGAATCTCTTCAGAGCCAGCTTGTAACACCCCAAGAAATTTGCCAGATTTAATTTCAGATGATTTAGGGGTACTTAGATTGAAAAAAATGGTCCACAATATTTAATAGCTTCTCCCATCAAGAGATAGCATCTATTTCTCCACTCTTTAAAATTGGGCTTGGCCAAGGGCCAGCCTGTGGCTCACTTGGGAGAGTGCAGTGCTGATAACACCAAGGCCACGGGTTCGGATCCTATATAGGGAAGGCCAGTTAGCTCAATGGTTGAGTGTGGTGCTGACAACACCAAGCCAAGGGTTAAGATCCCCTTACCGGTCATCTTTAAAAAAGAAAAAAAATTGGGCTTGGCCATGTGACTTGCATTAGTCAGGGGGATATTAGCAACATGATGCAAAAAAGAAGCTTGAAAAGTGCTTCTGCATTGGAGCTTGCCTTCTTTCTCTGCAAAACTTCTGCCACCATATGAACACATCTGGGCAGTCTTCAGGAGTATGAGTCTACATGGAGAGAGGCCTCAACCTCCCAGTGATCTCAACTAAGACCCTAGACCTGTGAATGAAGCCTTTGTAGACCATCTGGCCTCAGCCAGAAGAACCACCCAGCCAACCCACAGAATCATAAGAAATAATATTTGTTGTTTTAAGCCACTAAGTTTTGGAATGGTTTGTTATGTCCCTCAGAGGACAACAATTAACTCCTCGCCAGGCAATCTAAAAATGTTCCACAGGTACAGATATTCTCTTTACCACCCTTACTCTTCTTGAGGAATTTGTATTTGATCAGCCATCAAAAGTTTGAACATGAGATGAAAAGTTAACTGAGGAATATAAAGCAATGGCCAGTGGATAGTAGAGATATTTGGGAGCAGTGTAGTCTTTCTTGGGCCCTGACACAGCTCCACAAAAATGATGCCTTTCCTTCAGAGTACTTTGTAATTATATTTGGCTGATGATTTGACAATGTCTAGACTAAACCATGAAGCTGTGTACTTCATGAAGGCAAGGACTGTGTCTAATTTGCCATCAATTGTATCCTGGCACATACTAGACACTCATTTGTTGAATGAATAAATTAGTGAATAAATATGGGTTTTGCCTACTTCGTATAAGGGATCCAGGCCTTAAAAAACCATCACTTAACAGTATTTCTATCTCAAGGGCTAGTCTTGTGTGTGTATTTCCAGCCACAGGCTGCCTACCTTCCAGCTATTGCAGGTAACTGGGTGCAGGCTTGGGATGGGGAATCTGACATTGAAAAGATCCCAGAACACTGGTTGCTGTTATTCCTTCCCTGTCCCCAAACTATGGGCAAAGTCAAACAAACATTTCTCAAGACACTTCAGGAAACTTGATATATAAGCAGTGGATCTTTGGGGTAAGGGCCAGTGATATGAGTGGGAGTCAGGTCTGTAGGGTACTCATATCATTTTGTGAGTGCTATAATACTTCAGTCACAAAGCAATTGTGAAACCAATGATGCAACTGAGATTATTTAACTAACTCTGAGAATCCTTGGAAGTTTGTGACTGTCACCATGCCATCTACCCTTCATCTAAGAAGAAAATTGAAAGAACATGAGTCAGAAAGAGGTGGGTTCAAGTGATACCAGTTGGTTACTTGGGCATGTTAACTTTTCCAGGTCTGTGCTTCCTCGACTGCCAAACTGGGATATTATTTTAGAAACATCACCTCTATTAAACTATAGATACCTTGCAGGCAGGGATCATTTGCTTTCATCTATATTTATCCTGTGTTTTTAATAGGGTTAGGCCCATAGTAGATACTCAGAATAGGTGAATGTCTTCTTAGAGGTGATCTAAGACCTAGCCTTGGCTCCATTACTAACTCACTCTGAGTGATTAGATTTCCTGTCACTCCCCGGAACTCAGCCTTCCCTTCTGTAAAATAGGAGTCTGGACAAGATCTTCTCTAAGCTCCTTTCCAGATCTAATATTCGATGAGTCTGTGACCATTCAGTACACTCTACCCCACTGCTGCTCCTAGAAGTTAATAATGCTACAGACTGAGGAGACAATAACAAGTCACAAATCACTTTGTATTTACACATGCATTTAAAACAGATTTTGTAAATAACTACAATACTGTATTGCACTTTTGGCCTACTTTTGCCTCTTTAGAGGTCAAGAGTTTTTTTAAATCATCTTTTATTTGGATTGTTTAGGAAGATGAAATCTTGGACAAGTTGCCACTAACACATTTTATGCAGCTTGAACCTTGGTGGTTAATCCCACTATTACCGTGATTGATGAACATTGTGCTGCAATCAGCTGGAAGGTGCTGCCTTCCACTCAACAGAAAGGAGGTCACAGAGATGGACTGTGAAATTGCTATCTCACAAACATGTCTATTTGTCTGTTGCCCAGTAGAAGAGTTTGCCACTATAATATTTAACTCTTGATTCCCTCTGTTGTGAAGATGCTTACTCCCTTGAACTGGCTCCTGAGTTTTAAAGAATTTGATAGTTTTTAAGTAAAAGATTCAGTCTATGCCTGGATATTCAGTAGGAAGGAAAATATTATCGATATAGGTACTAAAATATCCAGGGGTCATGAGGACTTCAGTATGAAATCTTAATACTAGGTAAATGGGTGTTACTATCCAGAAAAAAAATAGTTATTATTCATGACACTGTATGTGACTTTACAGAGTAAAAAGCATATCCAGAACCACTGCTCTGTGATGAGACTGTATTATTCCATGGTCAGAGAAGTAAATCAGGTCACTCTCCCAAAATGCCCCATTGCTGGAGCATGGAGCCTGCCTAAAGCAGTACCTGGGAGCTAGATAAGTATTGCCTGACAGAAGCAGATACAGGGAAAGCCAGCACTTGGGCCTGAAGATCACTGGGCACTTTTGCTCAGGCCCATGAGACCTGGTTGCCTCAGAGACTGTCTCTCCTTTCCTGAGCATTAGACATCCATCACCTCATATTAGTCTGAGTAGTTGAGCAATTTGTTTACAGATTAAAGATATGTCTTTTTTTCAGTCAACTTGGAACCTGATGGCCCTGGGATTGAATCCTAATGTGGTTCTGGAACTTGCTAGCTGTGTGATCTTGGCCAAGTCTTTTAACCTCTCTGGATCTGGTTTATCTTATAGAGATAAACCCCTTGGCTTACCTGTAAGAGATGCGGTATAGAATGTGGTTAAGAGCACAGACCTTGGAGCCTACTGCCTGGGTTTGAACTCCAGCTCTACCATTTACTCATTATGAGAACTTAACCAAGCTAGAACCTCTCTGTACCTTCATTTCCTCATCTTTAAATGAGGCTGATTCTAGTGCCTCCCGCACAAAGATGATGGGAAAATAAATGAGTTAATACATGTAAAGTGCTTGGAACAATGTCTACTACAAAGTAAGCATGACATCTTAAAATCACATTGGGATGATAATCCTGATCTATGAGATTTGTTTTGTGGATCAACTGAAATGGTGAAAGTGAAAAAAAAAAAGTCACAAAGTTATGATTGCTGAAAGGGACCTTAAAGATTATCCAAATAAATCCCCTCATTTTACAAGTGGGAAATCAAGACTTGGAAATGGGTAATAACTAGTCTAGAGTCACACTGATTCTAAGTCCAGGTCTCCTGATTCTAAGTCCAAAGCTCTGTCCTCTGCATTGCATCAAAGGAAGTGGTCTCTCAATAGCACTGACTCTGGATGGTCTTTTAATTTAGTCCTTGGGCCTGTTGCTAGTTAACGCACTTTCATAGGACAATGAGCTGCATTTGAAACAGAGAGAAAACTCCCCCTTCTGGTTTACTCCCAGAAAATCGGGGTTAGAATCAGTTTTCCCAATTTTTTCCCAATTCAATTTTCCCAATTCTTTCAGTTTTCCCAATTTTTACCAAGTCATGCCCCCTTAGATTTATTCTACTTTGAATCACATTTCCCAGTTGAACTGCTGAGGAGTAATTGAAAGATGGGTTGGAGGAAAGGGCCAGGATGGAGAGAAGTCTCTATGAATAATGGCATTGAATTAGAGAGGTATTTGACCTAGAGAAAGGGCAGGTCCCAGGGGTCATGGGATGGGAAGAGAAAGAATAATTTACAGGAAGCAGATTTCAGCTTGAAGCAAGGAAAATTTTCTGACTCTGAGAGCTGCCCAAAGATGGTAATGGACAATGAGCTCCTGTCTCTGCCTCGAGGTGTGGTTTAGAAGAAAGATTTAGTTGTGAGGCCTGACAGCCACTTGTCAGAGATAGGAAGGTTAGAATTGACTAGTCAAACTAGGTAAATATAGGGATTCTACCAACTCTAATCTTTTCATATTCTGGGAGTCCAAGAACCAGTGACTAATTTCATGGCATTCCCACCGTTAAGAACTAGCTGGAAAGCAGCAAAATCAGAGATTCATGACACATTTCTTTATCTTGTCTGTGTTTCTCTTTTTCTCTTTGTCTTTCTTGAGCTCACTTGCTTGCTCTTTCGTATAGCAGAAACCATTGACATTTTGCAGGGGTAATCCTTTTCTTTTAAGTGTGTTTCTGACTCAGCCTTTGCTCCTGCAGCATCATTAGAGAGTCTGAGCTCTCTGGAGATTAGCTCTGGCTTGTCACCACAGCAACTGCCCAGGCCCTGTGGGCATCTGTGGTAACAGGCACAGGGCTTTGAGAGCCAAAGCTTGGCTTGCAATGGGAGAAAGCCCCGCAGGGAGCCTGACATGAAACAAGCATGTTGTGCTTTGGGAGGTTTTCTTTAATAGGATTATCTGTGCGGGTGGGCCTCACTGTACACAGTTGGCCAGCCCCTGAAAGGGGGGGGGGGGGGGGGGGGGGAAAAGGAGAGAATTTGATAAATGGAGAAAATCTTATTTTAAAGGCAGAAAAGAGACTCACTTTCCAAGTCCCTGTAGTGAATCCCCTTCATAAAATGGAGTTTTCTTTTGTAAAGTGAATCTCCACCCAATTGTGACCTGTGCTCTCAGTCTAGTGCTGAGTGTCTATAATAGGGGCCATCTGCAGAGAACCCCAGGGGTAGGTAAAGAACAGCAGCAACTTAGCTTGCTCAGGGCTGGGAGTGGACAGTGTGTAACAAGGAGTAGCAGAGTGGGTGAGGGGCCACATGAGGGGAGGTGAGGAGGGTGGGCCTTGCCTAACATGAGCAGTTCTGCTGCAGCAGTGGTGGGGTGTCTGAGAGACGCGTGTTCTTGGAGGCACCCAGCATGGAGGGCTCCATGTCCAGCGAATCAGACATCTTGTCACAAATGGCATCCACCAGGCGCTCAAAGGCCTGCCTCACGCTGATGTTCTCCTTGGCACTGGCTTCAAAGAAGTCAAACCCTGGGGAGAGAAGAGTTACAGGTAAGGATTTTTCCTATCTCTTCAGCTGGAACCTTTTTGTGCCCCCAGCCTGAACATTCTGGATTAATACACTCCTCCTGAGGAGCCAGTGCTCAGGAGTGAAGCAAGGAGGCCTAATTCCATCGGCAGAGGATTCTGCTTCCAGGAGACGGTACAGGGCATAGGTTACCTGCACTGGTTTTAGAGTTGGCAGGTCGTGACTCCACCGTTGATCAGCTGTTTATTCCCAGGCAAGTCACTTATTTTCTTTACAAATCAATTCCCTGGTTTGTAAATAGGGATCATTTTACCTACCCCATAGAGTTATTTCAAGGATTAAACAAGATAATAATGCATGTGAAGTATATAGCCCTGTGCATGACAGAGAGGGGGGCCATGAGGTGTTTGATGAAAGAGCAAATACATAAGTATGTGTGCATAGCACTTCACAGTTTCCGAAGCATTTATCACACACATTATTTCATTTGATCTTCAGGTCACCCCTGGGAGAAGTACTGTCAGTCAGACTCTTCCATTTCACTAATGCAGACACTGTGGCTTAGTGAAGTAAATGGGCTTGCCTAAGATAAGTAAAGGCACTAGTGTGAGAAGCCCACATTCTGGGCTTTTTGACCAGGGATTTTTTCCTCCTCTTTCCCCTGCCTTCCACTCACCCCAGCCTGGCCAACTCTACTCTGGGCTCTAGGAGGCATCTCAAGACCCACACTGAATATGTAAAGCTTTATTGGCCCTTTCTACCCACAGATAGACTGGCTTATCTCCATTTAATGGAGTTCTTCCTCCCTGAATTCCACTGAAGTGATCCTCTAGCTCTCTGCCCTCCCCACACAAACCCAACAAAAGGCCCAGAAAAATCTGCACCTGAGGTGTGCAACATTCTTGTCTGTTTTGTGCCTTGAGATCCTTAGCAACACTTTCTGTAACAATGAACAGAACTTGGTTGTCCCAAGAAATATAAGCAAAGGCTTTTCCTGATTCAAACAAAGTGGCTGCTTCCCACCTAAGGAACCTTGACCAGCTAGGTGGCAGCCCTTGGAAGCATAAGCTGCCCTTTCCATCATGTCCCTGCCTTAGCCTACTCCCTCCTGTTTTGTTCTTCCACCTTCCTCTTTCCCTTCCTTCTGAGCCTTTCTTCATTTCTCCTCAAAACCCTCACTTCCCTTTTTTTCATTTAGCTCCTTCTTTTTCCCTTATGTTCCCTGCACTTTCATCTTGGAATCCCTAATATCTATTGAGCATCTACTATATGCCAAATACTATGCTAAGAGCTTTACAAATTATCGTCTTATTTAATCCTTATAACGGCCTATTGGGCAAATACTATCATCTTCAATTTATAAATGAGAAAATGAAGGCTCCAAGAGATTGCATAACTCACAAAAGGTCATGTGGCTATATTAGCAGAAATTGGGTTTAGAGCTGGGTTTGGCTGGCTCTGAAGTCCATACACAGCCCTGCCTCCCATTTCTTCCTCTTTCTCCCTTTCACTTTGCATTTTTCCCCCTGGTCATATCTTTTTCTTTCTTTACGACTCTCTTTGGCCTCCTTTGCTTATATCTGACTACCACAATGTCTGAATCTGGGCAAGTCACTTTATCTTTCTGAATCACTTAACCTCTGTGATTCTTAGACTCCTCGTTTGTCAAATAGGAATAATAACACTGTCTTCCTACTGAGAGCACTTGGGAGGAGTGAGTGAGATGATGGATAAATTGCTGTACAAAAATCGCCTGTAATAATGACAGTTTCTTTCTGCTCTTCTTCTTTCATCTTGTTCCTGCCACCTCCTCTTCATCTCTTTCTCCATTTTTTATCATCATCTCCCACAAGGGAGGGTGTCTCTTTCCTCCTCCCTCCTTCTCTCTATTACTCCACCATCCAGAGAGAGCTGAAGCCCCAGTTACAAACTAAACTCTTCTTTCCCTGGCCTTTCCAGCTTGAAGTCACTCACAGCTTCTGCCAGCCCACCTTTGCCTGTCCTGTGGCCCATTTCCTGACCTGAGAAAGGAAATCTGCAGAAGTACCCACTAATTGTGGACATGTGATGAAGGAGAAGGCTGCTGGCTCATTATCCTCAGGCCATAGAAACCCAGTCAGCTTTGGAGACCCTCCAGCACACAGTTTTTCTTTAGTGAATATCACAAATATTGACTTCCTGATCTTTGACTGGCTTATCACAGTGGTAGTGTTTGGGGAGTTGGGGAGAGCGTATTGCTTGCCTAGGAAAGGTACAAAGAGGTAAAGAAATAAATAGGCTTTAACCATCAGTTTGGATGAATATGAGGACACAGGTCAAGGTCAGTAGCAGGCCTCCTATATCCTCAAAATTCCTGGTACCTGGGTAAGGTCATAGAGATGCTGAGGCAGGTGATATCTGGAACGGCAGAGGAATTTCAGGGACTCCTATTCCAGGACACATGACATTTTAGGGTCTCTGTCTCCATGTGCCCCTTAGAATGGGGCTTCTTATCCCTTTCCTGGATCTGTTTGGGGATTGGGCTGGCTAGGGTCTAGAGAGGCTAGTAATCACTTCTGAGGAATTGGCACTAAGGGGAGGACATGCCACATTGTACAGGTGGGCAGTGGGAAGAAGCCTGGGAGTTCACTTCTGAGGAATTGGCACTGAGGGGAGGACATGCCACATTGTACAGGTGGGCAGTGGGAAGAAGCCTGGGAGTCAGCCTGGATTTGAATATAGTCTCTGTCAGCTACTAGCTTTGCATCCTTAGTCAAATTGCCTATTCATTCACAGCTTCGGTTTCCTCATCTGTAGAATGGAGTGAATATTACATACCTCATCAGGAGATAGTGAGAATTAAATTCACAAAAGTATGTGAAGTGATTGGCATGTGCAATACATGGCAATTCCCTTTCCCATCTGTTCCCAGCCCACCTTAGTCCCAGCTTCCTTGCCCCTTCAATGTCTCCCAGGGTCTTTGGAGAAACCCTCTTTTCCTTCATCATTCAGGATCAATCAATAAAACAGGTCTTTACTGAACACTGACTTTATGCCAGGTCTTATGTTGTGTGCCCAGGACATATGGAGATCAAATCTAGTTATGGAAAAGACTCACTAATAAATCCTTCATATCTGCATAGTCCTTAACAGTTCACGAATACAATTTAAAAACAACCTAGTGATGGAGATGTGGCAAGGCAAGGGTTATCACTTGTAATTTGCAGATAGGAAAACCGAGGCTTAAAGATGGGGCACAAGCCAGGGTTCAATCCCTTATGCCTCCTTGTCTCACTCTCAGTTGGAACAGTGACAGAACAAGCTATAACATTCTGACCCAGGTATAGGAAACCAGAGGCCATGCAGGAGTGCAGGAGAGGGAGAGACTGGCAGCAAAGAGGGAGAGGAAACTTCCTGAAGTTAGTGGGGACATAAGCCTTTAAAGTCAGAACTGAGAAAACTCTTCACCTGACTAACTTACCATTCTTCAGGACTCAGCTTAGATACAGTCTCTTCATTTTCCTCTGTGCTTCCCTCTGCCATAGCACTTGTTACCCTGTGCAGCAGAAGTCCATTTGACAGGGAGCTCCCAAGCAGGGACTCTGTCATTCCTCTAAGACCCAGCACCAGCCAGAAGAGTAGGTGCTTGGTGAGTGTTGGTTAAATGAATAGATGAATGAAGGAGGTGGGAATGAGCATGCAGGGTATGGTGGAGGCAATGTAGACAGTGACGGTCATGAAAGCTCAGCTCAACAAGCATGGCAGACCCTGTGCTGGGCACTGGGGACACTGAGGTGAAGCAGACACAATTCTTACCCTTGAAGAGCTCCTACTCTATTATAGAAGACAGACACATTGACAATATTATAGAATAATAAGTGCTGGAATGGTGGGAAGTCAGAGGATTGTCAGGGCACAAAGGAAGCCTAACCAAGCCTGGGGGCCAGAGAATGTTTCTTGGAGAAGCTGATGCCTAAGAAGATGTCAGCTAGACAATGACAGTTGACTTTGAATGTACATCTGAGCATATGCATGTCTAGCATACCAGGCAGGAGAAGCAGCATGAGCACAGATAAGGGAGTAAAAATAAGCCTTGTACATTCCAGAAGGACCATAGCAGTTTATTGTTAGAGGAGAAAACTGAAAGTGGTAAGAGATGAGTCAGTAGAAGGCCAAACATGGAGAACTCATATGTCATGCCCAGGAGATGTCTTCATTGTCATCTCAAGGGTATACAAAGTATAAAAACTCTGACTCAAGTTACCAGCTCATGGGTCTAGCCAGCTCAAAGGTCTCTTTTGCTTAGCAGAACAACCGTGAAAGCATCCCCACCCAATTACTGTCAGACTCTTGGAAGGCTCTTCATTCGTAGGTCCAGATAGTAACCTTTTCCTCAGGTTCATTAATAATGATTCTCAGGAGCCGAGAATCTAGTGAGGCCAGGAAGATGACAACCAATTAAGCAGACTAGTCCCCTGTCCTTTCCTATCTCTAATTGGCTTCAGAACAATCTGAGATGTTTCCCCACCCCCAAAAATGATCATGTTTACCTATCCTGTGCAAAGGCAGCTGTCACAGACCCACAGACTGCATATACACTGCCTGCTTCTGAAGTTGACCTTGGAATTCTATTCAGAGACTTGCAACCAACTAAACTCACCCTTCCCCATCCTGACACTGCTTCAGAACATTTCTCCTCCACCCTTATGTTCAAATCCCTTCTCCATCCTCCTCTGATACCTCCTCATCTCTGTCATATATCAACTTCGCCTCACACCCCTCAGGTCACTGATGACTTTGGCAAGGGACCCACCGTCTTCCTTTCTACCTCAGGCTTGCTCTTATTCTCAGGAACTCTGAATTACTGTGGACAATCCATACATCTTAGCCTCTTAATTTAGTGACCATCTCATCTCTAGTGACTTTCTCTTCCATCTTGCATCAGCTATGGCCCTGTCCATGTAATTTGAGCTATTTTGACTTGGATTTGTCATTGGAACTGAAAAGTTCTGATTAATTCCATATCCAGCCTCATTGGCTTAAGCCCCAAGACCCTGGGCCTGGCCTCTGTCTACTTCTCCAGCTTCATCTTCCTGGCTCACATTATGCTTTAGAAACATCAATTCTTTCTCATTTTGTGCCTTTGCTCATGGTCTTATTCTCTAGCTCCTCCTAATCATCTTCAGTACTCATCTGTGGAATTACTGATCCCAGACAGCCTTGCCTTTCTCTTCCCCACCCCATCTCTGTCACTCAGAACATACATTGTACCTCTCCCTTGCACTCCTGTGGCACTCTGCATGATTGTTTTAGTCAGATGCCAAGGTAGGTAAGTAAGGTGGATACCTGGTTTCTTTCTTTTCCCCATCTCCCATCACCTGCCAGTGTCTCACTGCCACTAAATTCAGCAAGAAGCCACTGTCACAGGAGACTGGAAAACACAGTCTGCAAAGATCAACCCCCCAGAGGTGATTTCAGGACAGAGACAGAGCAGAAGAAGGATGAAGAATGACAGCAATAGGCTAAGGACTAGCACAGTCATCTTCCAAAAGAAATGTTGAAGTTATCTCCTTATGATTTTGGTTCCCTGGTCAATGAGCATTCACTTCTGTGTCCCTAGAGTCCATCATGTGTTCAGTGACTGTGGTAGATTATTCACCACCCTCCCTGCAAGAGATTTTATATCCCCACCCATTGCCACTGGTTTGCAGTGCCTCCTTATAGGAAGAATATATCTCCCCATTCCATCATCACCAGGTTCAATTATGTGACTTGCTTTGTCCAAAGGATACAGGCACAAGTGATGTGATCCAAGTCCCAACAGAAGCTTTAAGAGCCTTTGTGTAGTTTAGCCATCCCAGATTGGATCCCAGAGTAAGAAGACATGGAACAGAGTCACAGCTGACTGGCAGCTGGCATGTAAAGTGAATGAAAGATAAACTTTTATTATGTAAGCCCCTGACTCAAATTGTGTGTAACCACAACATAATCTAAAGAAATCTCACTAATATTGTGGCTGAGGGTAGAAATCTGAAGAGAGGCTATGTCCAGCTTTTAGGAAAACCACTGGGTAATATAATGACACCATTAGGACTTTGAGTCCAAAGGCTGAGTTTGTGTACTAGGCTGCCACTTACTACTTGTACTTGTAAGTTACACTTGTATGGCTTAGAAAAGTTACATTATCTTAAAGCGAAAAAATAAAGACAGAGAAGTATGGCATAACTCATTGCGTGCAAGAAAACACAAGTGCTGGACTCAGCTTCTTCATCAGTAAAATCACTGACTTACTGTACTGATGGTAATGTACTGCTATAAATAGTAGCCACTGTACTACTGTAGCTGATGATAATGTCACCTTACAGACTGGGAGTGAGAGTGAAGGTCACAAGAGAATGGTTGTGAGAGCACATTGTGAACCATAAGTCACTGTTAGTTATTATCAATGCCAAGTAAGTCTCTGCAGCTAGCCTCCGTGACGCAAAACTTCTATTGTTCATCTTAATCCAAAAATACACTTAATGAGCACCTAAGATAAGCAAGGCAATGTACAAGAGTCTGTGGGGTCTGAGTGATGAGTGGTGAATTATGTAAATTAAAATCATATAATCAAGTGGGACAGAGCTGAACTGATATTCCTACTCAACTAATTCAAATCCCCTATATTACAGATGGGCAATCTGAGACCTATAGACTAGAAGTAAGATGCTCAAGGTCACAGAGTAAAGTAGTGACAGAGGAAGGATAAAACCTCAGTCTCCTAACTCCTGGTCTGGGGGTGCTTATCCCACTATGCTATGCTGGTAGGGGGGGGGTGTGTGTTTTAAAACCACATTTCAAACAATCTCTCCTTCCTTTGTAGGCAGAAGCACATTTCCCTTTTACTAGCCTCTCTAGACCCTAGCCAGCCCAATCCCCAAACAGATCCAGGAAAGGGATAAGAAGCCCCATTCTAAGGGGCACATGGAGACAGAGACCCTAAAATGTCATGTGTCCTGGAATAGGAGTCCCTGAAATTCCTCTGCCGTTCCAGATATCACCTGCCTCAGCATCTCTATGACCTTACCCAGGTACCAGGAATTTTGAGGATATAGGAGGCCTGCTACTGACCCTAGGAGGCCTGCTACTACTCACAGCTTTAATAAATGTTAGTTGCTGGCTGTATCAATCATCTCAGATGAGTGAGCTGAGGAAAGCTATAAGAAAGAGTCCTGAGGAGGAATCCTATAAAGTAGAGGATGTCACTATTGCACTAGCAAGCAGACTACTGAAACAGGCTTAATTCCTGGAATAGCAGAGGGATAGGCACTGGAGTGCGGGCAAGAAAGGCTGAACAGCCTACCTCACTGTTCCCAGATCTGATCCTTGCAAAATTCTTAACAAATCTATAAGATTCTGCATGATCTGACCACTGCTTATCTCCGCCCTCATCTCATACTATTGTCCCCTTGATTATTTAGTCCCTGTAACATGACCTTCTTTCAATCTCATGAATGTTTTAGGCTCTAACCCATATTTGGACTATTCTTGATGTTGAACACTCCCCACCCCCCATTGCCACTCTGCCTGGCTAACTTTCTCATCCTTTAATTCTCAGCTTAAGTGTTACTTTCTCAGAAGACATCAACTCTCCAGCCTAAAATTAGGTTTCTCTTTTTCACTTTCTTTGTAGCATATGTTGTAGAATTATGTTACTTTTATATGCCCACCATCCCTTCCATTAGAGAATCACCATTTTGAGTAGTTATGGTGGGACTATAAGATACTATACTTGGGCCGGCCCGGTGGCGCACTGCTACAGTGCGCTGCTTGGGAGCGCGGTGGCGCTCCCGCCAAGGGTTCAGATCCCACATACAGACCGGCCGCTCACTGGCTGAGCGAGGTGCGGGCGCAACACCGAGGGTTGCGATCCCGTTGCCGGTCCCGGTCCGGTATGGGCGCGACACTGAGGGTTGCGATCTATGGCCGGTCACGAAAAAAGACAAAAAGGAAAAAAAAAAAGATACTATACTTGCCTCCCTCTCCCTCAGCCACTGGGACGGGTATGTGACTCACAGGTGACCAATCATAACCTTTCCTGAGACTGGTTGAATAAGAGAAAGCCTCTTTTTGCAGGAGTTGGGAAGCTATGAATCTGGAGCTGATATCATCCGTCTTACACCCCATGCAGAGTCAGGCTACAGAAGGAGGCTTAGAGAATAAGTAAAACTGAGTAATGGAGAGTGAAATTCAGTCCTGGGTCTAGTGGAGCTCCCATTTATGTGGGCTAATAAATTCTTTTTTGTTGTTGTTAAATTAAAACTAGTTCAATTTGGGATTTTACCACTTGCAATAATAAGAATTTATATTAAGGACACTCTGAACCATGTCACTGATTATGTTTTCTTCTTTGCAATGGCTGCTAGGATGCTTAAAGCCAATATTTTGGCCCAACTCTTGCAGGTGCCCAAGAACTTATGACATAATACTTATCTCACCCTGGCTTCCTCTTATTTTCCTCCCACCCTTGTTTTCCCTTTGCTCCAACTTTCTCACATTTATTTTTTTTATTGCTGTACTGTGATGATTTTTATAAGATACATCAAATCCTGTGTGGAAGAAGCTGGTTTAAAAAAAAGAGTTCAGGGCTGGCCCGTGGCTCACTCAGTAGAGTGCGGTGCTGATAACACCAAGGCCACGGGTTCGGATCCTATATAGGGATGGCCGGTTGGCTCACTAGCTGAGTGTGGTGTTGACAACACCAAGCCAAGGGTTGAGATCCCCTTACCGGTCATCTTTTAAAAAAAAAAAAAAAAAGGAGTTCATAAATTTAAATTTTACTTATATATTCAATATTTCAAAATATATGTGTATCATAAATTATGACTTACCTAAAATTCACAAGCACGAAGCCCATATGTACATCACACAAATATAAAACAATACACACAGAGCACATAGGTTCATAATTCACATTCACAGCACACCCCAGTGTCACAAATATAAACACACACTTGTCCCCTCTGTTTGCCTCACTCCCATGCACACACGTACACACACATGTCGTACACATACCAAGCTGCTCTGCGAGGAGCCGACCCTTCTCAGTGGGAACAACCCTCTCTTCCTCCATGTCACACTTGTTCCCCACCAGAATGACCTGTGCATTGTCCCAGGAGTAGGTCTTAATCTGAGTAGCCCTAAAAAGAAAGAGAAATGTGTTAATCATACTGCTGTGGACTGAATGTTTTTGTCCCCCACAAATTCACATGTTGAAATCTAATCCCCAATGTGATGGTATTTGGAGGTGGAGCCTTTGGGAGGTAATTACCTCATGAAGATGGAGCCCTCATAAATGAGATTAGTGTCCTTATACAACAAAAAAGGGACTAGAACTCTCTTTCTCTCTCTCTCTCACTCTCGGCCATGTAAGAATACAGCAAGAAGGCAGCTCTCTCCAGACACTGAATCTGCTGGTGCCTTGATCTCAGACTTCACAGCCTCCACAGCTGTTAAGAATAAATACTTGTCATTTAAGCTGCCCAGTCTATGGTATTCTTGTTATAACAGCCCAAACTGACTAAGATACACACCCTCCTGGGTCAGAAAGGTAACTGCGAAGTTTGAAGATGCAGTTTCTCTTCCATACGGCTAGAGACACCCGAGTTACTGCTAATTAACTCAGCTGAGGACAGACAGATACCTGCCCCCACTGGTTATCACAGATGCTGACCCTTCAGCCCTGATTGCAAATCTCACCCACCTCTTTGGAATCCTCCTCCAATGTGTCTGACCATCTGTCTCCTCACTGGGCAAAGAACTCTTTCTCAAACGTGTATCTGATCGTAATGTGTCCTTTCTTAAAAGCCTTCTCTGGCCCCCAACTAGTTATGTGATCAGGTCCACATTCCTTAGTTCAAGACCATTCATGTCTTATCTCTCCAGCCTCATCACCCTTTATCCTGCCTCACAAACCTCATTCATTCCTCAAATGCTCATCCACAGATTGTGCGTTTGCCTATACTGGCAATCCTTTCCCCATAACTAATCCATCCTCCAAGGCCCAGTGATGATCCCACAATGCCTTTGGGGGAGTCTTCTCAAACTTCCCTAGACCCAGCTAGCCACTCCCTCCTTCTCTGTGATTCATAAACCTTCACTAAGGCCTTAGATCATGATTATTTTCAGAAATTAAAATGTCAGCAGTAGTTTCCTTCACATAAAATGATTGTGAGACTTCTAAAAATTAATTTTCAAATGTTTGCACTTTTCAAATTTTTTAAAGTGAGCATGTGTAATGTCTATAATTAGAAACAACATTTTAACAGAGGGAATAAAATAGGACCTTTACATTGTGGAGATAACTTTTTGTGGGGATGGGCCTAACTATGTCCCCAACCACCCCGTCAGGTAGAAATGATTACTTCCCCCTTGGTCTCCTGCACCTTTACAATGGCACCTATTACACTTGGCTGAATTTATCTGTCTCTCCCTAGGCAGGGACAGGCCTATTCACCTTTGGGATGCCGGCACCCAGCACAGAGCACAGAGCAGAGAAGGTGTCAGTAAATGTTTGATGAATGAATGAGCCAGCAAATGGTTAATCCTGAAGCAGATCTTGAATCTGACCCTATCCTGACCTTGACACTCAATCAAACTTCAGTACGCTAACTGCAACCTGGACCTAAACCCTGTACCTAAAGCTGATTCCATCACCAACCATCTCATCTATGGTGAGAAGTCATTTCCTCAAAGGATGAAGTTTGTTGTGGGCCTACAAAGATCCAGGCCCCATTCTGGGCACTGGGGCTTGGATGTCAGGTGGGGGTAGGCCAGAACCAAGTTGCCCAGAGTCAAAAACTCAAGCTCTAGGGCTTAGGAGAGATAGACACTCAGGTAACTAGAGCCAACTTTCCTTATCTCCCTATGCAACTCTTCCTCTCTCCTCCTACCCCATCCCCTCTCAGCTCCCAGATTAGCAATAAGCTCAGGTCATTCTTGGAGAAATCATCACCAGGTATTGGGTCACTGTGTTCTTGAGGCAGAATGAACAGAAACTGATGGAGAAAGGGAAGTGGGTGAAGACCAACAGGGAATGGGCACTGTGGAAACACTTAAAGAGCTAATCACTCCATGGGAGGTGTGGTCAGAAGGAGAGAAGATGGAGAGGGAGGGAGAGGAGAAAAATCATGGCTAGAGAGAGAAAAGGGAAGTGGGAGAAGAAAGAGAAGAAGGAAAGGTAAAAGAACGAAGGTAGAGGGAAGAAGGAGATGTTAAAAAAGAAGGGGGAGAAAGGAGAAAGACAATGACCTAGAGGCAGAAAAGGTGAACACAGAGCCCCATGAATAACAGACACGCCAATGCCACCCTGGACTGTTGGTCAGCAGGAAGCCTAGAAGGTCACTCTCAGCTCAAGGATCCAAGTCACTAACAATGCTTCACATAATCACAGCAACTGCCCTTTGAGAGAAAGGAAGTCCTCAAAGGATAACTGTTAGGCAAAAGGGAGCAGGAGACCAGCTTGGCACTGGCCAGCACTGCTACTATTTGTCTAGCTTGCTCAGCCTCTGATTCTGAAGAACAGCCTGGCACAGAAGCTCCATCTTTCCCCATCCTCATGTACTTAGCGGCATGTGTCCTTCCCCATCACATTCCCTTCTCCTGTGAGTAATGTCTCAGGAAGAAAGATATAAGTTGCTCAGAGATTGTGCCTCTGGGTGCTGTTCTGAGTTCCATTATGTATTGAACATTTATTAACTTGCAGTGTGTATGTTCTTGGTACCCCAGACCAGCCCGGGGATAAACTTTATAGAGAAATGCTGAGTGGATTCACTCTCCACTGTAACCAGAGTAATCTTCCTAAAACATGAATCTGAACCTGTTTGTTTCCAATTCAAATGCCATCACCTATAGGATAAAAACCAAACTCCTTACCCAGCCCACAAAATCCTTCATGAACTGCGCCCTTCCTACCCTCTCACCTACCTTCTAGCCTTTGCAAATCTGTATTCTCTTTTTGAAACATCCTTATCTATTCATCTCTCAGGCTAACTCTATTCACCTTACAGAATGCGGTATATGTATCTGCAACTCCAAGACAATCTTACTGACTCCCTAAACTGAGCCAGAGACCCCTCCACTGGGTTACTACAGCCCTGATGCCTCTCTTCATCACTGCACCTATCACATGATACTTTCATTGCCTGCTTACTCGTCTATATTCTCCTCTCATCTATGACCTCTGTAAGGGCAGGAACCATGTCTGATTCATCTGGGTTTCCCTAGCACACAGCACAGGACCTAGCAGATGTTAGGTTTTCATGAACAATTTTCTGAGTGAATAAATGAATGAATCTCATACCAGTCTTGGACAGCATTGAAGGACTCCTCATTGGTGATGTCATACATCAGAATGAAGCCCATGGCCCCACGATAATAGGCTGTTGTGATGGTCCGGTACCGCTCCTGCCCAGCCGTGTCCTGGGTAGGAAAAGGAAAGAGTCACCCTCCTAGAAAGTCTGCTTTAGGGGCTGGCTGGTTAGCTCAGTTGGTTAGAGCCCATTGTTATAACACCAAGATCAAGGGTTTGGATCTCTGTACTGGCCAGCAGCAAAATAAAAAAGAAAGTCTGCTTTGGTTCCTAAATGTCCCCAAGACAGTTAACTAATAATCCAAAGCATATTTAAGGAGTACCTATTATGAGTCTGGTATGGTACTTCGTGACTAGAATAAAAAGATTTTTAAAACATCATAAAAATTAATAAGAAAATAATTAAAATATCAATGGAAAAATGAGCAAGAGGCATAAACAAGTCACAGAAAAAATAATTGTTATATAAAAAAGTTTTAACCTTATTTTTAATAATAATTCCCATTATACATAAGGATGCAGTGAGGTGTACAACCTCACTTATGGGGCTTATGAGAATGGAACTTGGTTTGACCTTTCTGAAGATCAATCTGAAAGTCTAAAGAGCATTAAAAATGTTTGTACTCATTTATTTTTTCTTTTGCTGCTTGTGCTTTCAGGCTCATGTTCATAAAGCCTGTGCCCTGACCTAACTGCTAAAGTGTTTCACCTATATTTTCCCTTAGTAATTTTAAAGTTTCGGGTCTTATACCTAGGTCTTTAATCCATTTTGAGTTGACTTTAGTGTATGGTGAGAGATGCATATCTAATTTCATTCTTCTGCATATTGATATCCAGTTTTCCCAGCACCACTTGTTGGAGAGGCAATCTTTTCCCCAGTGTAGGTTTTTGTTGCCTTTGTCCAATATCAAATAGCTATAAGCCTGAGGAGTGATTTCTGGGTTCTCTATTCTACTCCACTGGTCTGAATGTCTATTTTTATACCAGTACCATGCTGTTGTGATTACAACAGCTTTGTACTATAATTTGAAGTCAGGCAGAGTTATGCCTCTGGCTTTTTTTTTTTTTTTTGCTCAGGATTGCTTTGGCTATTTGGGGTCTTTTGTTTTTCCATATGAAAGATAAGATTGTTTTTTCCATTTCTGTGAAGAATGTCATTGAATCTGTAGATCGCTCATATAGACATTTTCACAATGTTAATTCTTCCAATCCAAGAGTATGGAATATCTTTCCAACTTTTTGTGTCTTCATTAATTTCTTTCAGAAGTGGTTTGCAATTCTCATTGTAGAGGTCTTTCACCTCCTTGGATAAATTGATCCCTAGGTATTGTATTTTTTTGGTGACAATTGTAAATGGGCTTACTTTATTTCTCTTTCTGTTATTTCATTATTTGGGTATATAAATGCTACTGATTTGGGGGCATTTATTTTGTATCCTGCAACATTACTGAAGTTATCAACCAGCTCTAGGAGTTTTTTGATAGAGTCTTTAGGTTTTTCTATATATAGTATCATATCATCTGCGAATAGGGAAAGTTTGACTTCATCTTTTCCAATCTGGATTCCCTTTATTTCTTTCTCTTGCCTGACTGCTCTAGCTAGCACCTCCTAAAAAGTTTCTGCACAGCAAAAGAAACAATCAACAGAGTGAAAAGACAACCTACAGAGTGGGAGAAAACTTTTGCTAACTATGCATCCAACAAGGAACTAATATCCAGAATATACATAGAACTCAAGCAATTGTACAGTAAAAAAATAAATGACCCAGTTAAAAAATGGGCAAAGGAGCTAAATAGACATTTTTCAAAGGAAGACATACGAATGGCCAACAGATAAATGAAAAAATGCTCAGCATCACTAGTCATCAGGGAAATACAAATTAAAACCATATTGAGATACCACCTCACTCCAGTTAGACTGGCTATAATTTTTTTAAAAGGTGAATAACAAATGATGGCAAGGGTGTGGAGAGAAGGGAACACTACTGCACTGTTGATGGGACTGTAAATTAGTACAACCACTTTGGAAAACAATTTGGAGGTTTCTCACACAACTACAGATATATCTTCCATATGGTCCAGCAATCCCTCTTCTGGGTATATATCCAGAGGAATGGAAATCATGATGTCGAAGAGATACCTGCACTCCCATGTTTATTGCAACTCTGTTTACAATAGCCAAGATACGGAACCAACCTAAATGTCCATCAATAGATAATTGGATAAGGAAACTGTGGTATATATATATATATATATATATATATACACTATGGAATACTACTCTGCCATAAAAAAGAATGAAAT